TTTAGCAGAGTAAGACTGGGAAATTGAGGGGGGGGGGAATCCTCTAAGGTTGGGGCAAACCATGAACAGTAAACATTGACATTAGGTTGTTCATTCTTATTCCCTTGATAGAACATATTCAGGAATCTGCTCCAAATAACAGGCTTTGGCTGAAATGCAGTAGAAACTATATTGAGAAATGCAGTAGGTTGTGGAATGCAGGTGTATGTATACAATAGGTGGAGAAGGGGAATCCATATAAAGAATTCTCTTTTAGATGAAAGCAGGGTGTCCTATAAAGACTGATTCCTGTCTGACACACTCACCTATAGTTCTTAAACAGTCTTCAAGGGAAGCCCCCAGGTAATAGTGTTGCAGTAAGGATGCTTGAAATTCAGTAGTAGCTTCTTGTTAATAGAAAGGGATTTGTTCAATAAAGATGAAAAAGAAAATAGGTTAACTTCTCAGGAATCTCAAACATTGTATTATTATGACTCTCAGAATACTAACTAGCCATGGGGGTACAGCGCTTGGAATGTAATATTGTAGAATAATTCTGCCGACTGCTAGTAGTTCGATCCTGACTGGCTCAAATTTGACTCAGCCTTCCATCCTTCCGAGGTTGGTAAAATGAGGACCCAGATTGTCAAGGGGGTGGCAATATGCTGACTCTGTAAACTACTTAGAGAGGGCTGTAAAGCACTATGAAACAGTATATAAGTCTAAGTACTATTGCTATATAAATTTGACTTTGCCTGTTTCCCCCAAGGTAATCTTCCCAATATCCCATGTTTGAAATCATTGATGATTGAGGCAGCTGAGAAACATATTGTATAGTGGTTGGATTATTTTGAAATGAATTCTTCAGACAATAAATGTTGGATGTATTTAGATTTCTAACTATAGTACCAACATATTAGTCCCTCTAGAGGGCAGTGTTTAGCTAGAGAAGAATGTAGGGTCATTGCAAGAGAAATTAAAACAATGCTAATACCATTACAATGTGTTGATTAGCACTAGTAATTTTACTTTTGGTTATAGTTTGATTTTGTTACCATTGTGGTAATTTTAGATATATGTAAAATCTGAATTTGTACACTGGCAGATAACCATTTAAAACTTGTAATGAAAGAGAAGAGAACAGAATAGCAGATTAGGAAGGGACCTTGGAGGTTTTTTAGTTAACCCCCCCTGCTCAAGCAAGAGACCCTTTACCATTCCAGACAAATGGCTCTCCAGTCTGTTCTTAAAAACCTCCAGTGATGGAGCACCCATAACTTCTGTAGGCAAGCCATTGTGCTGGTCAATTGTTTTCTATTAAGAAATTTCTCCTTAATTCCAAGTTGCTTCTCTCCTTGGTTAGTTTCCATCCATTGTGTCTTGGCTTGCTTTCTGGTGCTTTGGAAAATAGGTAACAAACGGTACATTTACAGCATACTGTCAATAACACAATGAAATGTAGGGATAAAACTATTTTATTTTTGCAATATTAATATGAGAAACTATGGAAATAAATTATTTCAAAGAATGTCTGCCCTAATTAGTCCAATAGTAGTTGGGAATTCACTCTTGAAGTTTTAAAGATTCTGCTTTTAACCCAAACTAAGTATCTTTCTAAAATATGTGAGAATTTATTCCTCCACCTGCATAAGATTTCACAATTACAGCACAATTTTGTTTTCTTAACATTATGGAGGCAAATCCAATATAATTAAAATGTTTCTGTTGTTAATAAAAATTATCTGCATGGTTTAATTTCTTTCATTTACCATTTCTTAGAAAAAAAAATGAAATGATGTAAGTATGTCATTTTGAAGTACAGTATATTGCGAGCCTGAGACAAATGTAAAAAGGTCATCATAACCTACTCAAGCGTTCCACCTCCTCCACTGAAGTCTGCTAAAATAAATATGGTGTGTAAGTTACAAGTAGTATGGTATGTGTCACTTTTATCCCAGATATTTATAATGCACAGTTATATTTTCCATATATTAAAGATGCATTTGCAAGCATAATCTAATTTTTCAAAATTACAAACTTTTGCTGGGTGAAAATTGGAAACACAATCATTTATTTCCTGCCCTTGACATACTGTTCACTATTAGACCATTTTTTATTTATTCTAGGAATTCCGATACTAGCAAGTACAGGTAGTCCTTGACCACAACTGAGCCCAACATTTCCGTTGCTAAATGAAACATTTGTTAAGTGACTTTGCTCCATTTTACAACCTTTCTTGCCTCAGTTTTTAAATGAATCATTAGTTGTTAAATAAATTAGTCAAAGTATTGTTAAGTGAATCTGGCTTGCCCATTGATTTTGCTTGTCAGAAGATTGCAAAAGAGGAACATGTGACCCCAGGACATTGCAAGTGCCATAAATATGAGTCAATTGCCAAGCATCTGAATTTTGATTACAGGACCATGGGGATGCTGAAATGATTGTAAGCGTGGACACTGGTCAAAAGTCACTTTTTTCAGGTTAACTGTTGTAACTTTGAACTGTCACTAAACAAAGTCAAGGACTACCTTTAATGTATTTTAGTCATGTGATTATAGATAAGACTCTAGCTAGCTTGAATGTGTGTCAGACAAGGATTCTCTTAAGAAATGAAAATTGGTAGTTCTTTTTTTGAACACCCACATCACTGATTTGGTTAGATGGGCAGCTGTATAAATTTGATAAAGGAATAAACCAAGAAATTCACTAACCCACCATTGGCAAGAGGCAAATACTTTTAATGTCATCAAGGGCGGTGGGTTAAATAGCCTTTGACCTTTTTTTGGATTGCATCTACATACTGTACACTTTAGCTTCCAACATTACCTTCTTGTTTTTAATTTTAAAAAATTATCACCAGATTTTATTCACAATCCTGCCACATTTTGGCATATATAGAAGTTCTGGAGCCCCAAAGGGAGTGCTAAATAAATAATTCCCTCAACATTGTCAAACTATTCACTAAGGCTGTGTTACTATTACCATTAGTGTTCTCATCGTTCCTATCACCCATCTCCTCCCACTTATGACTGCATGACTGTAACTTTGTTGCTTGTATCCTTACGATTTACATTGATATTGTTTCCTGATTGCTTGTTTGTACCCTATGACTATCATTAAGTGTTGTACCTCATGATTCTTGACGAATGTATCTTNGAATGTATCTTGTCTTTTTATGTACACTGAGAGCATATGCACCAAAGACAAATTCCTTGTGAGTCCAATCACACTTGGCCAATAAAGAATTCTATTCTATTCCATTCCATTCTTAAAAGGCCACCTGAAGCCAGCAAGTTTTCCAATTACCATTCAAGAAAAAAAATGCTGCCACTATTCAGAAACCAATCAATCTGGTATCACTATTCAGGAAACAATCTTGAACTTGTATTATTGCATTGTATGTTGTATTAATATATACACAGCTTAAAATGATAGCTGGCAGTTCTTTAGCTCGTATTGGCCTTCAATGGAGACCAGCTTTTTGATAAAAACCTAAGGTTTCATAAGGTATTGCCATAATATAAGCACAGATCAAGTAGTGTAGCCTTTTGTAATTGACTCACTGAGATTTTGTTAATGTGCAGATTTTCTAATTGTTGACTAAGGCTTTTTGGTACACCACCAATGTGCTGATAATGACATGGCACGGTACGATTATGTGATAATATTGTATTATTATGATTGCTCACACACAGTTGGATATTTAGATTGGGTTTGGCATTTTTGTCCATCTGTTCAGTCTTTCCTAAGGACTTGGGACAGACAGATGTTGTTGTTTGATGGTGTTAAAGGTATCCACAGGACCTAAGTTGTTCCTAGAAAAGCTGCCTTTTGCAATTGATTGTGATTTTATCTATGTTAAATATGCCATGAAAGTATTTTAATAATGTGTATGAATATTACAGTTATATAAGTTGGGTAACTGATTTGTATGTAGTGTGATAGTGATATAAATATAAGGTTGATAGTGAAAGATTAGAATTAAACAATAGGTGATTAGATAATGAAAGAATATATTTGTTATTACCATGTCTTTGAATATTATAGTGATAGGAAGGGGAAAAAAGATAAAATAGAGATAGAAATAAGGGGAGAACTATAGTGTGTGTGTCTGTGTAGTGTGTGTAACGATATTAAGATACACAAAAGAGTAAGAAGGGTTAGAATTGAAGGATGGCAGTAAAGGATATATGCAAATACTATGAAATAATGAAAATGAAATGTAACAATGTTGAGTAATGATACTATGTTTATTTTTATTGAAGTGTATGATACCCAGGTATCACACCATTGAAGCATTGATATATATAAATAATATAATTTAAAAAACGTGACAAAAAAGCCATTTTATCAAAGCCATCTCAGAAATTAATGTTATTATTAAGTACATACTATTGCTTGATGAATAGCCAGCATTACCATGGGTCCCTCCCAAATTCCTGTGGCAAAATATCCTGATGGTTTGAGGGGAAATGCCTCCAATGCATTCCAACACAGCATATATTACTACTATATAAACATTATCAGAGGAAGCAGCTCACTTTTTTAAAAAACCCTTGTTTTTCAAAATAGTTGAATTAAAACTTTTTTATTTTTTTTACATTTACATAAAACACTTATTTTGTAATAGTAAAATGTCAATCATGAAAACAGGAAAACATATCAATGGATAACTTGACTTTCATATATTACATTCTCTTAAATAAAACAAGGGTTTTCTAATACGGTACAGTACACATGCTTTTTATCACACTTCTTCAACTTGTACATAATTGTTCCTTTAATCATACACCCCTCATTTGGTACGTTTACTCTGCATTGAAGATATATAAAGAAAACTTTTTAAGTTTACTGTTTGCTAAAGTCGTTCTTCCATAAAAATAGCATTTATTATATTAGTATTCTGACATTTTATATACATATAACCAGAATGAAATAGTGACTGTTACAAAAAGGTGACCAATTGGTATCTTATTATGTAATTATGGAGTGTTCATTCATTATATAGTTACAGTTCCCATTGACTTGACTTGATGAGCTTTATAAGAGAAGAATTCAAGTAGGGCTCATCCCTCCAAATTCTCTTTGAGCGTGGAATTCAAAATTCTGTTGTTGATGCTTGATTTAACTGCAAATTCCTTCTGTAATATAGCAAGGCAAACAAAAATAGGCAGTAGAGCTAACAAAACATAAATTCATAAATCAGTTTACATTTCAATGCATTTCTCCTTCATGCTTCAATAAAGGTGTAATTCCGATGATCCTATTGTTTTGGTGATTCCAACAACAATACATGTGAATATGTTCACATTACATATTGCACTGAGCTCTGGCTTGCTTAAATACAGGTAGTCCTCACTTACTAACCGCAATTGGAATCAGCAACTCCATTGCTGTGCCATGTGATCAAGTGACCACACCGACTTATGACATCAGTTCTGGCTCTGGTTATAAAGCAAATAATCTGTGGTCTTTAATGAGCATAACATCCGTCATGTTACTATGACTTGTAATTTCCTGTCAGTTCCTGTCAAAATCACTGATTTTGCTTCTTGAAAGCTGACTTGGAAGGTTGGAAATGGTGACGACAGGGATGCTGCGACCACCAAAAAATACACCCCAGTTGCAAGCACCTGCAAATCCCATTACATGACCACAGAAATGCTGCAGAAGTCATAAGTGTAAGGACCGGTTGAAAGTCTTCCTTTTGGAGTGCCATTGTAACTTCAAATGTTGCTGAACCGATGGCTGGGTTGGTAAGAAAGGATTACCTGCAGAGCTTACTGAATCAATCAAAATTGGCTGAGTTTACAGAACACATCCCCACCCCCCCGGGGGGGGGGAGGGACTTTCTGCCTCACCTGACAAAAACATTTTAATTAAAAAACAAAACTGAAAGTTGCAAAGCAAACTGCCAGCATCGTCTTTACTTTCAATAATGTTCCCAAAGCATGATGCAAAGTTGCAGCACAGTGCTTTGTATGGAACTATCTACATACATCTAGAAATAGGGAAAGATAAGCAGGGTTGTTAGAACAAGGGCCAGGACATCTTTTGGTAAGCCAAGGCTTTGTAACTAGTTATATCCCACCAGATTGCAATATTATGATGGGTAATCCACCCAGCACCCATTTTGCAAGCCTAACGACACTATGTTCTCAGAATTGATATAAGCTAAAAAAATAATAATGATGTGCTCTACACAAAGCAAATCAAGTAATCCATGCTATAGTTTAGTATGATGTGTGAAGTCAGTGACTTGCTCTGTCAGAACACCTAAAGATGGATGGTAGGGAATTTGTGACCAGCAGCCCAACCAGCAACACTTACTATTCACCATGCTGGTTGGGTTGCTGTTAGGTACCAGGAATATCTGGGGCATTATAGGTTAATTGCCGTGACCTGAAATTACTTTGATGTTTAAAATACTTTTTATTTAACAGTGATATCCTATGAATATTTATTCCAAAGTAATTCCCACAAGATTTCATGGGAGGTACATGCCTACATATGCTTAAGTCTATGTGGGATTGCTTGGTGGAATTAAATTCAGGATGAAATCTTTTCAACTTTACTATCTAAAACTTCAATCATGATGGTTCCATAATACTACCAGGCAGAATTAAACTGTAATAGTGCTATGCACTATTCATTATATTTCACAATACTCCAAATAGTAATAAAATTATTGAGAGTAGCACTTTTCTAGTCAGCTCTTTCTAGCTTAACAGTGTAATTCAATATATTAAACATTTTCTAAATATTTCATCACCGAGGGACAGGTCACCCTATCATGCCACTTATACATTATTTGACAAGGCACAGAAGAGAATTTCACACAGAACCAATTATCCAAAGCAAATTATTGGGAAGCAGAGAAATGGAGATGAGAAGCAAAAGAATATCAGGTAAACAAACCAAAAGACTTGTTTCTAAACAAATCCTTGGATTTAGGAGAATAATTTGAAGAAAAAGATGACAAACCCAATTTTCGGAGTATAAAATGCACCTCCCCCCCCCAAAAAAGAGCGTGGAAATGCTGGTGCGTTTTATGAACCAAATAGAACCATTTTTGGCCTCCCGCATCCCATTTTTCTGAAAAATGGTGGAAAACGGGCCATTTTTCAAAAAAACGGAGGTGTTTTTGCCTTCCTTCACCCCCAGAACCACTCTGCAGGCTTCAGCAGGGCTGGGGGAAGGGAAAAATGCCCCCTCCTGGGGGCCGGGGAGAACAAAAACTTTTTTTCTTACTTACCTCTTTGAAATCTTAGTGCGTCTTATACACCTGTGCATCTTATAGTCCGAAAAATATGTTAATTCATAGAAGTAGTTCAAAACGAAGATTGCAGAGAATCGTGAGAGTGAAGAGCAAAAATCATAAACCAATAAAGACATAACTAAATCATTAAGTAAAATAAACTAGGAAAATCTGCAGGTTTGATGAAATAGGGAACTACTGGCTACACTCACTGGAGTGAATAAAAATCTTAGATTTGGATAGAAAAGGGATCGCTTAAAGACTGGCAGTTTTACGATTAAAAATTATTAGCGGCCATGAAATGGGTGCTTTGCAGCTTGTTAAGCACTCCTGGCTATCAGAAATGGTCACAGTATACCTCACAATCACATGACCGCATGTTGGGTAGGCTACCTTTATGACCAGTTCTGGCGTTCCATGACAATTTGGGATATTTCTAGCAAAAAAAAAAGCCCTTTCAAATGAATGGGTTCATTTAATGACTGCCATGTTCCTTTAAAGACCGCTACAAAATGTCTTGAAAAATTACTTCTGGTAATAAGGATGCCACAATGACTTATGACCATAATTGTGGTATCAATTACAGTCATAAGGCGAGGACTACTTGTAGAAATTAGAAAATTAATGAAAGAACTCTGAACATGCATCATGTTGCCTCAGTATTTTGAATGTTATATTATTTTAGAAAATCGGGAAAAGATTATGATATGATAGTATAATCTGACAAAAAAGCAAAAAAGTAATCAAGGGGAAAATGGATTGGTTGAAAGTTTTGGACTTTTTTTAGTGGTAAACAAAAATATGTGTGAAAAAAAGCTATTAAAAAGGGAAAAGAGAACAAAAATAGTTAAAAAAATATAAACATAGATTGAATCAAAAGAGCATAGTCTGCAATTTTCATCAATCCTAAACAATCATATTTTCAATGTGTCATTTGCCTCAGTTTTGATATGCAGCAATATCAAAATACAGTTATCCATGTTTTGTTTAGATAACTCATATCATAATGGAAATCTTTTGGACCCTGTTTATATTGGTGTAAAATTCAAAAATAGTGTACATGTATAAGTATTTGACATTAAATTTTTCTATAATGTAAACATTTACATAAAATATGAATTAAAACAGTATTTTTTTAAAGAGAAGCTACTAACTTTTAGTAAAATTGAAACTGAATTAACCACATGCTTTTGCATCTGGTTAATAATGAGGCCATACAAATGCAAAGTATATATGGATCTTCAATGCGAGATTGAAGTTATCAGTTTTCAAATGGGTTTTTTAGTTTATTTTAATATGATCATATGCTGTCTTTTCCTTTTAATGTGTGGCACAACTTGGTGACTACATGCATTGGCTGTTGGTGAAGGGAGTAAACCAACCACTTCAAAAGAAATTGGCATGAAAAATGTGGTAAAAAGAATGTAGATAATTGAGTTTTACCACAAGAAAAGAAACTACATTTCTGGGGGGGAAAGTATCAGGGAAAAGAGTAGAGCAGAATTTTTATCTGGAGCTAGTTAGAATGGATTCTTTTTCCAGGGAGAGCAAAGCATGATTTTTAACGAGCAGATAGATGGATATTTTAACAGTCACATTAGCTGAAATCCTCCTACGAATAAAATGATCCTCAGCAAAAAAAAGAAGAAGGAAGAAAGAAAAGCACCTAACCTTGCCTCAGACGTAAAAATAAGCTGGAATGGAGAATTGTTCAAGGAAACCATTTGAAATTCATGGGGTGCCAAGAAATTCTCAATATAATAGCTGGATTGCCAACTGGGATATATGTAACTGAGAATATTTCACGCAAGTATTAAATGAGCCCTCTTTTTCCATATTTGTTTTTAGGTGCAGTTAGAAATAGGATTTAATCAAAACTACTATTTTGGAAAAGAGACCAAAGAAAGGGGCTTGTAACCCAAGCTAGAAGAAGACTGATGTAAAATGTAATGATTTATTAGCCCATAGTTGCTAATGAAGTCTCCTTGATAAAAAAGCAAAATCAAATTTAGTTGATTAGTATTAGTAGCAGAAATGCAGTATCGATGTTTCCTCTGGTCAGAGAATATTTTGTTCAGAGACTATTATTTTTAACTGAGTTGATACTGCATTTGAGTGCCCTTGTTCTGTTGAGTTACTCAACATTCATGAAGCAATCTTCAAATACAGATAGTCCTCAACTTACAACCACAACTGATCCTAAAATGTATGTTGCCAAGTGAGACATTTTTAAGTGAGTTTTGGCCCATTTTACGACTTTTCTTGCCACCGTTGTTAAGTGACTCATTGCAGTTGTTAAGTTAGTTGCCTGATTGTTAAGTGAATCTGGCTTTCCCATTGATTTTGCTTGTCAGAAGATCATAAAAGGTGATCACATGACCATGGGACACTGCAACTGTCATAAAGTTGCCAAGCACCTGAAGTTTGATCACATGATCATGGGGAAATAATTGTAAGTGGGAAAATCGGTTATAAGTCACTTTTTTCAATGCCATTGTAACTTAGAACTGTGTTGTTAAATCAAGGACTACCTGTAATCCCAGACAGGATAAGGATTAACATTCCCTTCATACAAAACAGTCACACAGCCAATGATGATTTCCTGTCCTAAGATGACAGTAATTTAAGAAAACTCCTGGCCCCATTATTAAACTGTAATAAACTAATATTAAGTACACATTGTTCCAGATGTTCTACTTATTTCCTATGAATTTTTGCAGTAAGAAAACACAAGTTAGACATACCAGAAAATCTGAATAACTAGGTTGGCTGGCAGATTTGCTTTTCTTGCACTCTTCTAATGATGGTTGGTGCAGGGAATATAGAGGTGTGCTTTTGGAAGGAGTCTGCAAAATGTAATACACACCTAGTCTCAAGTTACATCAAATATAAAATATAGGCAAGTAAATAAGCTGTTGTAGAACAGGAGGAAAAATTGCATCTAATTTAAAAAGTGAATTTCATTATTAAGCGAAAGCTTGAAAACAACTCCTGTTCAGAATGAACTTTAAGATTCATACATTTCCATTTCTCTTCTCGTTACTTGCTCTATTTGCCAGGAAACCTTATTGGTAAACTATTTACCATTTATCATTTGGAAACTGTTCCAAGTTGTCCCCTTAGCAGCATATCTGATTAGGCCTTATATCTTAGCTCTTACCGCCTTTCTTACATTCAATGAATAAGAGTCTTGTTTGACAGCATATAAATTATTCCAGTATTGTTCCAGTGTCTGTTCTCTAGCTTTTTCACTACAGGGAAATGACCCAATATTTATACTGTACAGCTTTACAGGTTATTAGTTTGATTGAAAATGATTTCAGATAACCACTGGCACGGCAAATTGCAGAACCATACCTGCCTTGAGTCATGGGACACAGGGGAGCCAAAAAAGGTCAGATGGTTTAGTATTTGGATGGGAGACCACTACTAGAATTAAAAAAATAAGAAAAAAAGCCATTCTGGTAGAAGGCAATTCTTATGTTATCTTAGCAAATTCTTATGAAGAAAACTTCTCAGAAGTTAGGCTGTTGGTTTGAGCTCCAAGCTTGGCAATTTGGTTGCAAATGCTTCATCACCATTCGAGGAGACATCGTCAGTGCATTTTGAGTTGTGCTTGTCAGTTGCCATTCAAACTATCAAACAAGCTGAAATCAGACCAGAACTCAGAAGTACCCAGAAAATTCTAATCCTAATCTACATCACACAGATGGTACTTAACTACAGCCCAGCAACTTCAGCCAACCAATCAAACAGACCAAAATCAGACCATGATTCAGAAATATCCAACAAACATTCAGACTAATTTGCATCTGACAGAGCACAATTCAAAATGCACTGAAGATGTCTCCTTGAATGGTGACAAAATGTTTGCAACCAAATTGCCAAGCTCAAAGCATAAATCAACAGCCTAACTACCAACCCGAGCTAATAATATTCAAACATATTCCAAACATTTCCCAGAAGTGTTCTTATAGTTAAACACAACTCAAGATTTGTTTGATAACTAGAACCATGACTTATAAAATCTATTTCATGTCTTACACAATTATTATGCAACTCATCATCTCATCTAGCTGGTTAAAAAAAGCCTAATTTTTAAAAAGAACGTAAAAGGCGAATAAAGAGACAACAAAAGGAATAGCATTTATAGCGATAGTCTGCTTCAATTGGCCATTTGAGTTAGCACTTGAATGTCATCAATCAATTATTAAACATAATTAAGAGTAACCAATCCAATTAAGTTTATACCATATTTTTTCATGTTTATACAGTATTCACCTGAAAGGTAAACCAGATCTTTTATTTTCTCTGAATAATTTATTTAAAATGGGATCATCCTTGATTCACAGAGAATATACTAATAAAGAGACAGCTTTCTGGGTAATGTTTCGGGGGAATGAGTAGTCTGCTTAAATTCAGTATTTTAATCAAAATACTCTGGAAAAAAGCTAACAACATCTCATTCATGAAACAATTGGTTTCTGCATACCTAAAGGAGAAAGTAAGTCCTATCTAATGTACTATGATAGAATTTACTTCCAGATATATATTCAAAGTTCAGAAACATCTAACCCTAACCTTGCATAAAACAATAAGCAAATCATAATTCTTCTCACTTATAACTAAATATATATATTTGAAACTATATACGTATTTACTTTCCTACATCCAGCTGAAGGATTTTTTTTACATTCTTCTATTTGTTACATGAACAATCATAATATATCATGAATATTCTTCATTCTGTACTAGGTTTCCCTAGCAAATTAAAACTGTATTAAACATAATCTTTTCAACTGTACACAGTATTTTCAACAAATCTTATGCAAGCATATTTTATGAAGAAGTATTTTTTCAGAAATGGAAAAATTCTGATCTCAGTTACTTTTCTAAAAATATGTGAATATGAGATTCCATTCAGTATTCACTTTGGAAAGTCTTGCTCCTAAACATTTAGTATTGCAGGTCTAATGAATTTTTATATAACTAATTTTGTATAAATCCAACAACCGAACACCTGCTAAGAGCTTTTCTTAACATTTTCAGCTTTGTTGTTATGGTTGATATGAAATATTTTCTGTAAAATATTTTGTAGGCAAAAAATGGACCACTGCAGTGTTCATCATAACTCTGTTTGCCATACTTCCTAGGTTCAATAAGACAGCAGCTGAGCTTTCATTGACTAGCAGTCAAAACATTTTTGCTATGTTTGGAAAGCCCTTTAATATCAAAAAATAAATAACAATAGCACTTAGACTTACAGTATACTGTTCCAGTGCTTTACAGCAGAGTACCCCAGCATTTCCATCTTTGCAGATTGGCGGGGAGGCGGGGGAGAAGGGATGGTTCTGCACATATGCAGCTCCATTTGCGTGAGCAGTGTGCTTGCCATTCACTTAAATGGAGCGTGCACTCACGCTTGCCCGCTGTTTGTACAAGTGAGAATGCTTGTGTGTGTTTGCTGGCCATTTCTGAAGCCCAATTGCAAACCCCTCACGGCAGAAGTGGGTTGCTACCAGTTTCGGCGAACTGGTAGCAGAAATTTCGACTGGATCACTGAATTGGTAGGGATGGCAGGATCGCCACGCCCCCGAACCGGTTCCCCAGTAGCAGGGGTTTTTTGACATTTTTTAATATTCTGCACATGCACAGACCTATTTAAAGGCAACTGCACGGGCATGGAGTGCCCGCACACGAAGTGCGCATGCACCGAACCGGCAGTAACGCGGGCAGCAACCCACCCCTGCCTCACAGCCCACTAAGAGGCTGCGGCCCACAGGTTGGGGACCCCTGCTTTATAGGAATATGAGTGGTTTACAATATCAACATATTGCCACCTGCAACAATCTGGGTACTCATTTTACCAGCCTTGGAAGGATGGAAGTCTGAGTCAATCTTGAGCTCCATCAGGATTGAACTCAAGACTGTGGTCAGTTACCCTGCAATACTGCATTCTAACCCCTCCACCACCAATCTATTCAATTCTTAGATTGATAAATATGGATTATATGTATGTATATATATCAAATAAACTTTGAAAAGTAACATTACAAGAGGCAGCACAGTCATTTGCTTACTAAGGTAAAATAAGACTAAACTCTTTCTAAAAAAAAACCCCAAAATATCTAACCTCTTATACACAGCACAAAAGTAAATAACTTTTCCTGATATATTTTTACAATAAAAATTATGTTACCAGAACCAGTTAAAGATGTTAATTATACTTTACATACAAACATAGAAAGCAAAGCTTGCATACCATTAATATCTAAAACTAACAAGAAATTAGTGGAACTTAAGTTAGTTTTGAATAAGCATTTATGGAAAGATTATTAACACTCATCAATTCAAGTGAAGTTCAGTTTTTTTGCTTTTTTTGTTCAAAACTATACTGATTCAGGAGCTTAGGCCGAAGCTTGCAAACAAAACCCAGTGTATTTCTCTAATCCCGGGGGCGTGGGGGGACTTCCCGGGATGTCAATCACCAAATAGATGGGCCAATAATAGAGCAATCAGGGAGGAGTATAAATCAGGCTGGCTCGGGATCCACAAATGGCTTGCCCTCGAGGACAGAAACCCAGCCAATGTTGATCAAGAAGTGGAGTTGCACTGTGTCTCCAAACTCAAACATACAGCTATTCATTATTGTATTACATTCAACAACCAGCCCAAGTTTTAAAAAGAAATGTGATCAACTTTACTCACTTTGTTTTGAAATGGCTGCTTACTAGGAACAGCAAAATTGGTTGTTATGTTACTGCAACTGGATGCTTTAAGTACAGTTAGGTTTGAGGCTACCTGAAAAAAAGAATAGTTCTAGTCAGGAATAAGAAACTTGTGGACATTTCAATAAGCAGCATATTTAAAACCCAATACTAATCTCCAAGAACGTAATTTCTTAAGTTATCTCAAACTTTAAAAATACCTTTAACAGTCTTTTTTTTTCAGGACTACTATACTAGATCAAGACGACAAAAAAATCTAACAAAAAAAAAAACTCCTCTTCCTGCCATTTAGCAGACAACAACTGTATCTGGATTATGGAGCCCATGGTGCTTAGCTGATTTATAACATGTTAGAGCAGGGGGGTCAATTTGGTGGCCTGCGGGCTAGATGCATCACGCACAGGCCACACCCACCCCAGCTCTACAAAGGCAAAAAAACATCACAATATGTCACGTGACATGATCAAGTTTGACACTCATGATGTTAGAACTACTGAGCAGAAATAACGTTTTATTGTGGCCTATACTACAGACAATCAAGTTAGGAGTCTAATGGATTTTGTCTCATTTTTAAAAAGTATTTAATAATCTAGAAATTGCTTTCAAAATACAACCCTAATATATTTATTCACTTTTTGTGCAGAATAGTGACATGGCTATTCTGAAACTTTGGCAGAAATATTTAAGACATTCCTGGGGATAATGGACCTGCTAAAATTCCCAAGATATCTGTCAGGTTCCATGTTCCCACCGATTTTAAGATTGTTTTATTTTATTTTCAAATTGAAAACTGATAACTAAAGGGCCAGCTTCAAACATAATCTTTATTTCCAAGAGTACTTTTGAGTCCCATACAGTTTACAAACTGAAAATAGTGGGTTGTTTCAGTTTAGCATTTGACTTGAACCTCTGCTCACCTGCCCAGAAAAAAACACAAAAATAAAAAGATAGGGAGCAATTTATAGGTCTGGAGAGAAAACTCAACAATTGCTTCCTGGGATACAGAATATTTTGGGGATATCCTGGGATATTAAAATATTTTACTTTGCGTATCTTGTTTGTAGTTGGAGTATTCACATGGGCAGATCTTTTCATAGCTCCTTTTGGAGTTGTATATTCCTCCCGCTTCACTGACTGAAACATAAAGTCATTTTAAGGTAGTAAATATTGATACATTTTACACAAATCTACATCCAATCCACACAGACAACCATGACCATCACAGAAAGGTATGGGTCATCTTCACCTTTTCATTATTGTTAAAAGATGGACACGCATGTTGACCATTCTGTGTTTTCATACTCTCCTTCAAACATTAATTATATTTAAACCACCATTACTAATCTAGCCAAAATTCACCCCTAATGTATTTGCAAACAGATGCCAACCATGCTTTGAATTCACTTGAGCAATTTCAAAACATGTAGAAAGGGGATAAAAAGATAGGAAAAGTATAATTAGTTTTTTTTATAAAAAAACTCACTTTCCTAAATTTCAGAATTATTTGTTCCATAGTGTGATGCTTACAGCTAAAAAAAATGTAAAAGACCAGTTTTCAAGCATGAAAATCACTTTATTCCACAATAAAAGCACTGAAATAATGAATAACAACTTACTGTTTTGGGCTGATCTTTTTTAAGTTTATAATGCTGCAGCTGTTGGGTCATGTAATCAAGAAACCTCTGGCTTCTAATTAGAAAATCTGAATTATGATCCTTTTCCCAATTTTCAATTTTTTCCTTCAATTCTTCTCCTAACTAAATTTGCAAAAGAAATGTCTATATTAATTATTCTGAATTTTAACTATTTATTCCATTTCTATAGCCAAACAACTCAGCCAAGTGCCCAAGTAATTCGTTTCAAGTATAAAAAAGGCTTATCCAAAATCAGTTCATTAATACATCAGAATTAAAACTTTTTACGCCTTAACTATATTAAAACATGCAATGCAAACAAATCATCAATGATTCAAAGATGTATGTCAGTAGAAACATAAATTTCCCATTTGAGTACTTTAGAGACAGGATTACATAAACAGAAGTTTTTGTAATCTACCAAAGAGCCTTATAAAAGGAAGTTAGAATAAAAGAGCCAGAATGATTAACTTAACTTCATGTTACATAGCAGCTCTTTTAACTTGTACTGTTAACAGTATTTTATGTTTGTCTCAAATACTCAAGGTTCACTATCGCTAATATCTTCCAGTTATCCTCATCTCAAAACACACACATACCCAAATGCGAGAAGCTATGAAAAAATTGTCCTGGCATTTTACCTTTGACAACTGCTTTTGAGTCTTCGATCTTTCGCGTTCATCTTTGAGCAGATTACCCCCTCTGTTTAGGAGCCTGCTTGGATCTGTTGATTTTTTCTAAAACACAAACACTGAATAGATTAATATACTGAATAATCAAACATGTATTTACGGGTAGCAACTTCAGTATCTCTACTGATTGTTTTCATAGAGGGATCGTCCTTCAGGCAAACAGCCAAAGCATAATGGTTACTGCGTATGTATTGGATGTAATTTTCTGATTTCATCAACTTATGCTAGAGTAGCGTTTATTTTAGTGATGAATTTAACAAGAAAACAAATCAGACAAGTCTAAGAATTCCAAGAATAACATCAAAGTAATGAAATGAAATATGGTTTATTCAGTCAGCGACCAGCAAAAATTGAAAATATACACCAAAGTAAAATCAAATGGCTGAGGTAAATACTAGCATAACAAAAAAATCATATAATATTTCTAGATGAATAAACTTTCCCAATTTAGATACAGGTAGACCCCCTAGTTGAGAATAACTGACGTAAAGATAACCCCTAGATATGAAGGGGAAAAAATTCTCTTTTCTCAACCAGACAAAGCACTGAAGCCACACAATACTTTGAGGACCAGCTGAAGCTGCATGTTTTAATATATCCTATTCAGTTCCTGAAAGCATTGAGTGGGATTAGCTGCATTGGCTGCAGGAAGGAGAATGCCTTCTGCCACTTTTAGTAATAAGCAATCCACCTGGAGTCTATGACGATTCACCACAGGCAGCTCGCCATGACCAACCTGCCACAGCCAATTCATCACGGCCAACTCGCTGCAGGACAATTTGCTATGGCCATCTCGCCACAGGACAACTTGCTGCAGAACAAGAATTACACTAATATCAAAGATATGTTGGAATAGAATTTAAAGAGAGGCTGCAAAAGGAAGGATAGAGCGAAATTTGAATGGCAAAAATTAAAATATTTTATTTATTTTAAATAATTAAGACCGTTTAAATCATTAAATTGTCCTGCAACAAGTTGTATTGCGGTGAGTTGGCCATGGCGAGTTGGGCCTCTGCAAGTTGGCTGTGGTAAGTTGGCTGTGGCAAGTTGTCCCATTCCCGTCTATCACACCCATTTGGTGTGGAGCCTTCAAATCAATTCTTTCAGCAGTTGTTAAGAAAGCTCCCACACATTTGCACTACTCTGGTGACTCTGAGGACACAGATAAACTTTCAAGTGGCCTCAACGACTCTCTCAAAGAACACAAATGACTACCGGTAACTGTCTGTAAGGAATATAAATACTTTCATTCCCACTAGTCAGAGCTGAAAGAAGCTTCTCGGCTGAGAAGGAAAACATCTTCAAAGAAAAACCAGAATGTCCAATTGTGTCTTCAAAAAAGCACCTTAGCTTAGAGTTGTCACGTTCCCAAAGTCGGTCCAAGTCCAACCCCGCCTGAATTCTGCTGACTCTTATCTGGCACCAATTTAGTATTGAACTTTAGTTGACTAGATTCTTGTGTATAAATATGAACAAGTCTTCTATGCTACAACCTAACAGATGGTCCTGATTCTTTGACATTAATCGTTATAGGCTGATGATGTACCTAACTACCACCACCACCCAGCTATCTGCTCTTCTCCTATAGTACTGCCTCTATTGTACCAGAATCAGGTTTAGGAATGCTAGGAAAAAAACCCTGTAGACTTCCAGATTTTAACAGTAAGGTAATTTCTCAAATAAATAGGGTTTCTGATTGAAATTTAAAGTTGGGTTTTTTCTCTGTCCATTAAAACTTGCAGTTATAAAGAATAAAATCAATAATTGGATACTAAAACCAGCTTCACTAATCTCATGGCAAAAGCTTATTATTTTTCATCATGAATTTTATCACAGTTGCAGTATCCTTTTTCTAGCATCTACATTTTAACAAGCATCTACATTTTAACAATCAAATAACTTTCTTCTCATTCAGCTTACTGGGTTGGCATTTTCCAAATCTGTTTTTCTGGGGACAATGGGGAGCTATTATAACCCTTCTGGAAAATACCAGCACTAGACAAATACAGTGTTCTAACTCATATCAGAAAATAGCATTTGCCGTAAAAAAATTAAAAATAATAAATTATCCCTGGCAACTAAAAACAAGGTAAGCATTGAAAGAGCATTTACCTCCAGTTCAATGAAGCGATCCAGAGTAGCCTCCCATTTATGAACACCGTCATAAAGAGACATGGCTTCCTCATAAATCTCTTTTATTTTGATCAATTCTTCATCGTGATGATACAACAATTCTTCTGAGAAATTGTCTATATAAATCAGGAAACTTTCGTTAAAAAGCAAAAAAAACAAAGAGTAACAGACACAGAGAAAACTTTTAAACATTTATCCCACTATTCCAATACACAATACAGATAGTTCTTGGGTTGTGTTCAAAGTTATGACGCTTCTGAAATAAGAAGACTTATAACCAGTTCTCAGAGTTCTGGATGTTGTAGCATTCCCAGTTACATATTTGTGATCTGGAAACTTTATGCCATCGCAGCTTATTGCAGTCATAATGATTTCATATTTTTCCTGCCAACTTTCCACAAGTCAATGGGGAAGCCAGCAGGAAGTTTAAAGTTACTTTTTCACCCATCCTTTGTAGCTCCTGCCCACCGCAAGCCTACCATATACTTTCTCATCTCTTTTGCCCGACAAAACGCACTTATTTGCTTTCAAGCATAGGACTTCTCATGCATAAGGCAAATAATGATTACATTTTGAATTTATAAACATGTGCTACAAGGAATTACCATCATAAAAGGGCTGAAACGCAGCTTTTTGTTCATCGGAATAAAAGCATTTCTGCCAATAGCTCTCAAGATCTTGCCTGACTTTCAAAATAATTTCTTTAACTTTCTCCTTCTTCACCTCTTCCAGTGTTTGTAATTCTTCTTCCCACTAATGAAAACAAAACGAAACCATTAATTGTGATGGTTACAAAATATACTTCACCTACTACATTTATGTTAGTAGTGGAGAGACGTCAAAATTCCCCTTCTATTACCATATTCGTGGCTTCACAGATGGAACACTGGTTGGTCATTTTCGTGAACCTTTCTTGCTTTTCTTGTGGCCACTGAAGTCTGTCCCATAGAAGCTGAACTTGTTTCATCAGGACGTCCTTGGTGGCCATTAGAGATGACTTCTTCTTCTGCAACTAAAGACACACACTCAAATAAGTATATGCAAAAAGGGTGGAGAAGTAAGAGTTTTGTCTAGTGGTTAAGACACTAGAGAGAGTGAATTCTAATACCACCTTAGTCATAAAAGTCAGTTGAGTGACCTTGGTCTCTCTCAGCCCAACTCACTTTGCAGAGTTGTTGTTGTGGGGAAAATATAAGGAGGAAGATGTGTGGAGTATGTTCAGAGCCTTGAGTTATTTGTAAAAATAATAAAGATGGAATACAAATAAATAAATAAAAACTCTGTTTCTCTGTAAATAGTAGCCTAAGGGGAACAGCAAGTCAGATCCAAAATAGAACCCAGGTTTACTAGGTAGGCGTCAATAGGAAAAAAGAGGCAGTTTCTGTCTTCATTTGCTCAGTGAAGGATAATGGCTGATACTGTAACATAATCTCTCTTTCTCTGTATGTATACACACATGCACGTCTGTTCAAAAGTTGTAAAAGACTGCACAACACAGTATCTAAAATGCTATTAAATGTCTTTTAATAGCATAATCTTAACCTTGTCAATCATTTGCAAAGGCTGCTGATATTAAGATCCAAAAGATGAGCCTGAACTAAAGAAAACACTAATTAATTAAAACTTGATTTATTATCATCCTTACCATCAGCCCTTAATTTTGTAATGTTACAAAGTACAGCAGACAGATAATCCATATGCTATAAATGCCATGAATCTGCACCAAGAAAAGTTGAGATGCTTTCATTTTGGAGCCTTGTTTTTTATGCAGCATAACTTTAAACAATATTGCAAATTAATAGTTCAAGTAATCGATTCATTCATAGGAATAGAGTCTTTTACATAAGCAGCCCAACCTGATTGACAAACTGCTGAAGATCTTCAAGATACTTTTTTGTAAGACAAATATATCCTTCTTCTTCATCATCACATAATATATTATTTTCCAGTGTCCCATCAGGTGTGTGTCCAATTTCTTTACTATATAGTCTGATTTCTCTTCTCAGTTTATGAAACTCTTCTAATCTTTGTTCCTGTTTAAATAAATAACTCAAATAGTTTAAATGTATCAAATTAAAGAGCTTATTTTATTCAATTTTATACAATTTAGAAACTGCACAACTTTCAATATCACAGGAGAAACAGAATACAGTATTAATAAGAAAAAAAACATAACAAATAGCACTTATACTTATACACCGCTTTACAGCACTCTCTAAGTGGCTTATAGGTCAGTATAATGCCCCCAACAATCGGGGTCCTCATTTTACCCACCTCGGAAGGATGGAAGGCTGAGTCAACCTTGAACCTGGTGGGATTTGATTTGAACTGTCAGCAGAAGTAGCATGCAATACTGCACTAACCACTGCACCACCGAGTCAAGAACAAACAAGATGGGCAGGGACTGCAGCAGAAAAACATACTTTCTGGCTCTTAAAAGATAATTTGATTGATTGGTTGAAAAGGCCTGTTGGCTCATATAACCCAGGCCATGGAATGCCATGGTAGATAGACAGTCCCCTTAAAACATGGCTGTTTCAACAAACTTGGGGATCTGGGGCAACAGTGACTCCATGCATTGGCTGCATCATGCATAATATTGTAATGTGTTCTGTGATCACTTTATTTATATTTGTTTTACTTGGATTTTGTATACTGTTTCAGCTGTTGGTTTTATTGTAAGCTGTGTGGGATGGGCAGCCATATAAATTTGATAAATAAATCACTTATGGTCCAGCTAAGGAGCTACCACCCTGAAGATACTCAGGAAAACTGTCCCAACAAATAACTTGGTAACAAGAGGGTATTAGTTGACTTTCTATCAATCATAAAATAGAAACTCTGCACATTCCTTCATTTCATGCTTAATTTGATTACAAATTCTTTGCATAAAGTCTGGATGAAAGTCAAAGTGTATCTTCTGGCAGCAAACTTTATAGGATTTTTGTTCTAGGTGGGATGCAAAACAGAGACTCACAATGCTCATTCTTTTTTGCTCAAGAAAGCAGAATGTTCATTTAGCTTATTTTTGACTGCAAAGTCTGACTTGCTAATGAAGGGATATAAATCAGTGCCATACCTTTACTTTCAGAAGATTTGTTATATGTTCTTTTATTTCTTCCAGCTCTGTGCTATTTGGAATACTGCCAGTAGGGATGTAGTAAGGGACTACACAAAGCTCTGTACATAATGCCTGATCTTCTCGCTGTAGCTGAGTCAACTTCTCCAGCCTCTCCTCTTTTTCTTTAAGAGCACTGTCTAATGCCAGCCGATATTCCTTCTCTAATTGAAGGATAGTTAAGCCATCATCAACCTGTAAAGTTATACAGCAAATAGATATATTTAGCACTTCTGTGAATGGCCTCCAGTAAGTTTTCTCTTTGTTCTACTAGATCTAGTACAGCAGGCTGTGTTCCATCATTACAATTAGACCTTAGAAACACACCTTTTTTATGGCTACCTCCAAGCTATGAAATAATATCAGCCCACCCACAAAGTCCACGTGGCCCTGATCCTCTGGTTGTAAGGAAAAACCTTAAAACATGGTTCTTTCAGCAGACGGATGGATGATTTATAATCATCCATGTACTAATGTTGGCATTTTACAACTTGGTTCTTGGTATTTTCTCCAATATAGGTGGCTAGATGTGAGGTGAGGCTGCAATGGTCATTTATTATTTTTGCTAACCAACTTCCTACAAGAGTAATTTGCTTTATGTTGGCTGCTGAGCCTTGTTTATAAAATTTGGGCACAGGGTAAAAAAAAACACCAAATTATTCAAATAGCAGAAGATCTCTGATGAGTTTCCCAGTTTGCTCCAAAAAGTAAGAAATCCCTCAGATAATTCCTGTCCCCATTTCACAATGTTCAGTCGCTGTCAACAAGCTGCATTCAATTTAATTTATTATTTGTTTTTTAAATATTCATTTAAAAAAAAGCAATTTAGCATTTAGAAAAGAGGAGAGACACCCCTGCTGTGTGTGTACTTTAGCATAACTCTAGAATGCCTGGCTCGTTAAGGAGAGTGAGTGTGGCGTCCTAGAGCATCAATTGTCTGTGATGTCAGTTCCTTTGCAGCTTGCTCTGGAAAGCCAGCCATGACATTCCCCTTTCAGTGGACGAATGGGGAAGTGCCTGATGGATTTGGGGCAATATGCCAGGATCGTAGACAGGGCGAGAAAGAGGAGCACATGGGAGGGGGAAGGGAGAGGGCAGGGATTATGGGCATGGGAGTAGGAGGAAGAAAAGGCCCTCTCAATGACTCCCTGTCTATAAATATCTGGGCAACACCTGGTCATCAGCTAGTTATAAATAAAAGTCATCTATGCCAACTTAATATCACTTTAGTTTTCTGTTCTTGGGAACAATTAGCAACTAAAAAGAACTTACCTTGTAAGGATCCAGACCAAGTTGGTATCTGAGTACATTCAGTTGATTTTTCTGAATTTCAATGTCATTTTCAATTTTGTTTTTCAAACTGCTTTCTTCATCAATCATTTCATTCAATAGCGTCTGTCCAGAAATACCCCCAAAAAATTTCAGCATAGGTTTATAACCGATCTAACTGTTGAACTTCTTATTTGATCAGAATCCATAGCTAAAATAAAGCCTATGTCCATTAGCCCAGGATTTGATGTGTCCAGGGGCAGTCAAAAAAGGTATCAGATTGTTGTCAATCAAGGCTTTCATTCATGAATGAAATGAAGAGTTTTTCTGACTCGCTTTCCTCTGTATCCCTCATGCATTTCCCACATGGCTTCAATGAAAGCAAATGTGATGCATGAGAACAAAACAGAGAATGGTCAAAACTGATCTACCTATCTTCCTGCTACAAACCAATTGTTGCAATCAGAGGCATACATTTGGAAAATAAAATGACTGCTTACTAAAAAGTGAAAAACTGTACCTGTAATTGATTAGTAGGCTTTTAGTTTATAATACTTTGATCTAAATTATATTAAAGTGGCTCAGAGACAGGTTGATACTTGCATTAATTGACTGACTTTAAAGATAAACACCTCTTCCCTTGAGCAATTTATTTTGCAGGAGAAAAAAGTACTGTACTGTTCCAGATGCTTTTACACTTGTATGGTTAGAGAGATATGATGGACAAAGCATCTTTCAAAGGCCAGCTTTCCAGGCTTTTAAGTAGCTGTCCTAAGCACATCAATGTTTTAAACACATTTCCAAAGGGGATAATATAATAAAAACAAGTGAATTTTACTTGAAACACAATATACCTTAGAGTAACAACCCCCCTCTCTGAAAACACCAAGGTTTTACAAAAAGAAATGCTATATTTATTTGAATATAGCATCAAACCTCTACAAACATATTTTCCATAAAAATTGCAAAGAGCTTCCTTGCACAGAAATTATCAACAACAAAAGGCATAGAAAAAAGGTAGAGAATTTGATAAGGTGCCCCTACTCCAATTTGCTGTATTTCAAAGAATTCAGGTACCATTTCATTTCTTTTTTTCCTATTATCTTCCCATCAAGTAGCTTTTCTTTTCTAGTTTCAAAATCTCTGAAAAGCCTGAATTTTTATCATTAGAAGGATAGAATTAAGCAGAATAGTCTGCTCTCCAAGCATGTTATACATTTCAGAAACTTTATGTGGCATTGTCCATATACTTTCACAGTTGTTACGAGTTGTTTGTCTGAGTCAGCCACTTTACACATTTGAGGCCTCAGAGTAATGCAATTGCCATGTTATACTGATGTCATGACATTTCTGGGTATGTGGGGAAATCATATTGGATTTTGGGAGGAGCTTTTTGAAAATGAATCTTAAATTTACAGAAGTACTGTATTTAAAACATATTGTGCTAAAAATGGTTATTTGGGGATAATCATGTTATCATGGTCACAGGCAGACTGCCTGAATCCTAACCCCCTATTTTACTTCAATGAAACCATAATTTCTAATAGAGCAACAAATACATAGAAGTAGAATAAAGAATAATATAGATAAGAATAGAATAAAGAATAAAATAGAGAAGAATATAATAGAGAAGAGTAGAATAAAGAATAGAATAAAGAATAGAGTAGAGTAGAATCTGAAAGGGCTTTGAAGTTCTTCTAGTCCAGCCGCCTGATCAAGTAAGAGAACCTATACCATTTAAAACAAGTAAAATTCAAACATAGGTTCACTATCCCGCAATGGCAAACCTATGGCATGGGTGCCAGAGGTGGCAAGCAGAGCCCCCCCTATGGGCACATGTGCCGTTGCCAACTGCTGTTCTGTTTTCCGGCATGCACATGCGCACTGGCTGCTAGAGCACCAGAAAACAACCTGAAACAGGCAAAAACTCCCCAAAATCAGGCCATATTTTTGGGGCATTTTCAGGCCATGTTTTGTTTTTCCAAACTTGACCCGAAGAATAGCCTGAAAATGGCCCAAAAAATGGCCAAAAACATGCATGTGCGCACTGGTCATCTGGTCTTCAGGATTCCAGTGCTCTGGCATGTGTGAAGAGCAGCTGGCCAGTGTGCATGCATGTGCCGGAAACCCAAAGAACAGCTGGCCAGTGCACACGTGCACACTTGGTCAGCTGGTCGATGGGTTTCCAGCGCTCTGGCGCATGCACATTCCATTTTGGGCACTTGGAGCCGAAAAGGTTTGCCATCACTGGTCTAGTCTCTTCTTAAAAATCTCCAGTGATGGAGTACCCACATTTCTGAAGGAAAGCTGTTCCACTTGTTAATTTTCTCACTGTTAAGAAGTCTCTCCTTAATTCCAGATTGGTTCTCTCTCTGATTAGTTTCCAACCATTATTTCTTGTCCAGCCCTCTGGTGGCTTTGCTGCCCAATATCACATCATACAATTTGATGCCCAATATCACATCACACAACCAAATGCAATTTCCCCATAAAATGGGTACCGGGAACTGGTACTAGATGTTTCATGCAAGCCAGTGTCACATGAGAGACTTTACATTTCAAGGCTGTCACCCTGAACCATACCTCAATGTGCAACTTTGCAGCCTCCATGCGTTCAAGCTGCAGCTCTTTGCTAATTCCCATTGCATTCCATAAATCTAGTAGCTTTCCCAGTGCTTGATTCACACTATTAACCAGGGAAGAAGCCAAAATTTCACTGAAAAAGAAAAGAGTAATTTCAATGCCATGATGACACTTAATGCAAGGATTGCCCTTCCTCCCAAAGGTGCTTTGTGAAAAGGCAACTGGACTTTGTTTTTCCTTGAAGACATTTCCCTTCTCATCCAATAAGCTTCTTCAGTTCTGCTCCCTACCTCAGAATTCTCATTTCCATCAACTTAATATTAATATTGTATATCAATGTAATACATTTATACTTTTTTTTAAACAAAAAATGTCAAACCCTGAATTCTTCTTTGATCTGGTGGCCATGAAGTGATCTGGGTGCCCTGGAAAGAACAAGAAACTAAGGACAAACTTGGCTTCTAACTTGTTTAGAGGTGACTAAAACAGGGTACCTAATCTATAGAAGGAACTTAATCCTGTTCATGTACATCAGAGTCTTGAGAGAATAGCCCTGACAGTATACATGTGCAATCTCTTTTTCTAAATATATTTAACATGCCTCCAGACTTCAGATTCTTGTTGTGCCTTGTACTTTTGATTTCTGATAAGTGCCTGGACAAGTCTTTGCAGTTTTCTTGGCAAGGCTTTCTGTACTATTTGCCACTGCCTCCTCCTTAGGGCTTGGAGAAAGTAATTACTGCAGCCCAAAGTCACGCAGCTGGCTCAATGGCTGAGGTGGAACTGGAACTTACTATACCAAACTGGCTCTTCAAAACTTGTTATTAGAGGTACAAAAGTACAATACATGTAATACCTAATCAAAAATAGGTTTAAAAGGATACAAGTCTTTCAGTGATTGAGAAGGCTAGAAATTTCATTGAATACAAAAATAGTTTTTTTCCAGATTTCCACTCAACTATAAATCTCAGTGGAAAACACTGGATGCTTAATAACAAAAGCTAAATTACTTACAGTAATGCTTTTAGGAGTTCAGAAGCCCTACCACCCCTTTTTTTGAAACAAAGATGTAAAATAAGCCAATATTATCATCCTCTAATATGCAAGGGGAGATAGATGGAGAAGCCCCAGGACATCTTTCCCAAAGCAACCTGATGACTTTATGTAGGTTAAAGACCCACAATCGATAAAGACATCCTGGAACTTCATGTTTGACTCCTGGGAGTTCATGGACACACCCATGATGTTTTTTTGTTTTTTTTTCATAGCCAAATATAAGTGGTTAACCACTGCCTCCTTTTTAAAAAAACCTCCCTATCATTTTCTTTTCTTCTAATTTTCCCAGTACATAGGCCTGGTCTATTTTATTTAAACACAAATAATACAAACAGTACATATACAACTGAATACAAAAAAGAAAGACAAAAGGGAAAGGGGAAAAAACCTCATAATACAGTGCACTGGAGAACCCCCCCCTTTATTTTTCTTATACAATATATTCCAATTGTGCCCTTATCCCCTCCAAAACAACATATATTCTTGAGTAGGTTTATTCCCTTTGCCTTCCACCAACACTGATTTTATAAAATCCCCCCTATTTCATTATAATTATTTACTTTAATTTATTTTAATCATCCCTTTTTAAAGTTGTTAATGTATCATTTGTTGCCATACTCCAAATTTCATTATACCACTCATTTCTTTGAATATCCCTGGTCTTTGGGCGTGAATTGTAACCAGGCCCAGTCAATATAAAGCTTCACTGCTTAGCTGTCAAAATATGGCAAACCCTATTGAGACATATTGAGCCTCCTCGAAACCTTCCGAGGCTGCTTTTTACGAGGGGAAACGGCATCAAAGGGGTTCCCCCGCTCACTCCCAAAGGAGCCGAGAAGTCCGGCTAGCCGCTCAGCGCTCCAGAGGCAAATCCTGTTCCCTTCCCACCACGACACAACCTGGCTTCAGAAAAACCCTTCATCCTTTTACCTTTCCCGCAGACGTTTCCCCATGTGGAGCCTAGAGACGGCCGTTGTTGGCGTCGCCATTCCCGCTACAAGTAAAATCCAAACAAAGACTCAAACGAGCGGCCGCCACCACCGTCAAAATTCAAACTTCAGAGAAAAGTTTGATCGAACGACAGGCTGCTCCTGTGCGCCTTATGATTGGTCCATCGCATTGGCGCGTTGTTTCCGGCATTGCCGAAGCAGCCAATCCACGGGAGAGAAGCAAATGAGGGGTGGAGCTCGCTCGCCTTTAAAAAAAAAACTTCAACCGTTGGCGTTTCGCATGAGATGATTGGTTGTCAAGCTAGGATATCTTTGGCCAATTTTTTTTTAAAAAAACCAACAGCCAGAGGAGAAAGGAAGGTCTGTAGTTAAAAATAGGACGGATGGGGAAATTGAGGAAAGCTTATAAAAGAGCGATCCGATTTCATTTTAACTTCATTCGGCTGTATGGAATAGCTGCGCCCAGTGCCTCTACTCAGGAAGGCTGCTTCGGAAATCAATTCCATTGACTCCAATGGAACCTGCTCGCTAGTAAATGAGTTTAGCGTCATTGAGAGTTCACAGCTCTAGAATGGTTACCTCGAAAATGAATCCTGTTTGGCCGGAATCGTTCTTATAACAGTTATAAATACTAAATCCCATTGCATATAGGATTAACTGATCGCAGTTTGAAAAGGATGTGTATCCGCATGGCGTTAAAAAGACTCAGTGGGGATTAAATAAAAGTTGTAGAATTATGTGGGGTTTCTTAATTTGTAAACAAAACAAAAAATAAAAACTCATGGGGTCAATTAAATATAAAAAATATGCTACATAGCAGAGAAAAACACGCAGTCAACTTTTCTCACCCTTTAGCTACAATATACGAGTGATGCTACAATATAACTACAATATATGAGTGATGGATACGTATGCTTGCATGGCATAATTAAACGCACTACTTATTTAAGCATAAATTAATGGTAGCCGCTTGTTGCTCACTCTCACGTTATCTCAGAAGTTGAATGAGCTATGCACGGAACTTGCTCACTCCTAGGCAATAAGATCCAATATTTGGCAAGCCCTAAGCAAAATGGATCATTATTCACAGTAAACGAGTTGTAGTGTTACAGCCTTTTCCTCTTCCAGCGCAGTTTCCTCGAAAACATATCCCTAGTTCTGGCTGGGGGTTTCTTACTCCAGTAAATATTTGTTTGTTTGTTTGTTTGTTTATGCGAGGCAGTGCCATTCAACCTGGTTTTAGCTTAGCATCGGATGGAAACTTTTCCTTCTGGCTGGGACGAAAAGCAGGAAGTAAAATAGAGGAAACGACCATATTTTGTAAAGGGGGGGTTATTGGCAAAAAATATGGTGACAGCAACTATGGAATAAAACAGGCAGTAATATCTCCAATGTCCATTTTCTCATGAAACACACTCCCTATATTAGCAAAGAAATCGGGTGGTAAAGCTTGATAAAATAGCTAATGATAGTTTGGATATCAACTTGCTCCCCCGTTTGAAGAATAGAATGTGCCGGATAGTGGCTTCAAGCGCAGGGGGAGGGGGGAGGATTTCAGATCCGTTGTGCTATGAAGTCGGATAAAACATGGAGTTTTGCGGAGTTATTGAGCCTGATCCTAATGAAAGCGACTGTGGGGTCTGTCCATATAAATGTGGATCTCTCTCGCCCTACAGGCGAGTTGAAGCATTTTTGGAAGAGCGCGGGATATTGGTAAGAAATGACGAATTGTTTATGCAGTGAAGTCATGAGGTTTGCAGTTTGAAATCAGTAAATTGAAGACAAGATTGTTTAAATATTTGCAGTTAATTTTGCAAAATCAAGGTTTTCTCTTACTTCCTTTTTTACATTACAAAAGTAAGATAAAGCAAAGGGAATAAAAATTTGCATTCCTCTTTCAAATACATACCAATGATTTTTCAAGATTGGTTTTGTGATACGTGTTTTTTATGCGAATGCATTATTTGTAAATACTGTTGAAAGAAATGTCCTTCTGGGTTCAGCTCTGTGGGAAGTTATCATCCAGCCCTCTCCCAGAAAAATGAAATATCCTAGGAAATATTGAAAAGGCATAATATTTCTCTGGATGTGAAAAGAAAGAAACATGCTTTAAAACACAGAATAGTTGTCTGTAGCTTCCTGCCCATTCACACTTTGTCAATAGGCCATTGAGAAGGCCAGGCTAGCCCACTTTACATTATAAAGACTCCTCCCCTGCAGCTGTAGGGGAAGGGATATTACTCAACTCTCCACATGACATCTGAGAACTGATCTATGGATTCAAAACAGCCTAGAGAGTAGCCCCCTGCATGGCACCATGGGAGTCTGACAACCAATCAGAATACATTTCTTACACAGGAACAGGAAACAGAGAGGTGGGACTAAACAGGGTATAAAAAGCCTAGCAAGCCCCTTCCTCAGCCCTTTTATCTTCTCCATCAACATCGAAATGTGATCACTTTTTCTAGTCAGGGCTCAAGCCATGTGGCCCTGTCCAACAATAAACCATCTTTCCAAGCAGCCTCCATGTCTCCAGTGTCTTCTTCCCCACTTGGAGCTGAACCCAGAAGGACATTTCTTTCAACAGCTCCAAGTGGGGAAAAAGACACTGGAGACATGGAGGCTGCTTGGAAAGATGGTTTATTGTTGGATAGGGGCACATGGCTTGAGCCCTGAACAGAAAAGGTGATCAGATGCTTCAATGTTGGTGGAGAGGAAGAGGTGGGCTGAAGGAGGGGCTTGCTAGGCTTTTTATAACCTCTTTAGTCCCACCTCTCTGTTTCCTGTTCCTGTGTAAGAAATGTATTCTGATTGGTTGTCAGATTCCCATGGGGCCATGCAGGGGCTACTCTCTAGGCTGTGTTTTGAATCTAGGTATGGATGAGTTCTCAGATGCCATGTGGCGAGTTGGGTAAAGGGCTAATACTATCATGCCTTAATCCATCACTCTGGAGCTGAACGGGAAAACTCTTTATTATGTAAAGTGGACTAGCTCTGGCTTTAATGGCTCATTGACAAAGGGCGATGGGCAGGAAGCTGCAGGCAGCTGTTCTGCCTTTTAAAACACGTTTCTTCCTTTTTCACATCCAGAGAAATATTCTGCCTTTTCAATATTTCCTAGGATATTTCCTTTTTCTGGGAGAGGGCTGGATAACTTCCCACAATACAATCCACTTAAATTGAGATTTAATACAATTTCCTTTAGTCCTGAAGTTAGGTTGCAATTCATATGTAGCAAGAGTTATTTCTTTAAGAAAGCATAATTGCATTGTGGAAAAATGAGCTAGGAATTCAGAAATGTCTTCTTCGACATCTCACACCATGAACCCGTAGGCAAGCAATGATCTAATGCAACCCTTCCTCTTTTTGCCATATGTAAATAATATATCCTTAAGAAAGATGGGTGATTCAGAAATGTGAAAAATAAAAATATTGGCCTACCTCGTGATAGCAGGAAACTTGAGCAGAGGGTGAAAAGTTGGAGGTTTTCAATCCCTCTCTCAGAATCTTTGGGGACTACCCACTGTAGCTCCCTTCAGCTTTGGGATGCAGTTTGGTAAGTTAATGTTGACATTACCTAATTTCTAAGGAGATGCCCTTATCTGTGTTTTGTCCTTCCCCAATAGTAGTGAGTGTATCTGTAATGATGTGATATGTAGAAATGATCTTGGGAGATAGGAGGGACAGCTGATCATCAGGTTGTAAAAGAGATCTTAGCCCATAGAACAGGGGATGGGAAACCATGTCCCTTTTATGACTTGTGGATTGGCTCAGGAATTCTGGGAGTTGAAAAACATACAAGGACCAATAGAAACAGTAATGTTCGACCTGTACAATGAAGCACTTACAGAAGCCAAATTACCAAAAACATGGACGGAAGCATACATAACACTTATACCCAAAGAAGATTCAAATAAACAAATAAAAAATTACGGATCCATTTCATTACTGAATACAGATTACAAAATATTTACATCCATAATGGCGGAACGATTAAAAAAATGCTAAACAAAATTATCCATTCAGATCAAAATGGCTTTTTACCAAAATGACAACTGAAAAATAACAGAATAATTATGAATACATTAGAATATTACGAAGAACATCCAGGGAAAAAAGTTGCACTGATCATTTTAGACACCCAAAAGGGTTTTGACAATCTGAATTGGCAATTCATCATTACACACCTAAAAAACATGAAATTTGGAGACAAATTTGTGAAGATGATTGAGACAATATACTCGACCCAAAAGGCAAAAGTATTAATAAATGGAGATGTCACAGAGAAATTTAATATTTTAAAGGGAGTAAGACAAGGATGTCCACTATCACCCCTATTATTCATCTTAACATTAGAAGTATTATTAATAGAAATTAGAAGGGAACAAGAAATAAAGGCACTAAAAATTAAAAAAGAATATAAAGTCCAGGCATTCGCAAATGATATAGTATTCATTTTAGAAGAACCAATAGGAATGGGGCCCAAATTAATTCAAAAAATAGAGGAATTCAGCAAAGAAGCAGGACTTAAAATTAATAAGAGTAAAACAAAGATCATACAAAAAAAATCTTACTAAAAACCAAGAGAGAATTGGAAGAAAATATGGGTATGCAGATATCAAAAAAGGTGAAATATTTAGGAATTCTGCTAACAGGGAGATGCTCAACAATCAAAGTCCACAAGTCATAAAAGGGCCATGGTTCCCCACCTCTGCCATAGAAGAAGGAGGAGGGCATGGGGAAAGTTTCAGAAGGGACTTTCCATAGTTTTCTGGAGAGGAAAAGAAAAAGGGGAGGAGAAATAATTTCAGTCTTGCAGGATTCTGTTAATTGAAACCTACAAGAAAAATAGAGGTACCGGTAGTATTGCTATTTGTGTTCTTATCGGAACTATCTCATAGGGCTAATGGTATGAGAGGAGAGTTCCACAATCTTTGCATGCTGCTGGCAAATAAAAGGGGGGACAAAACAAGAAGGGAAATCCTATAGCTCCATCTCATGCCCCTGTAGAGTTTAGGGCACAATGCCTAGAGCAGCCTTTTTAAACTGGTTTTCTGCAGCACTTTAGGGTTCCAGAAAAGGTCAGGTAGGGGTTCCATAAGAGAACATGAGGGGGGTGAGGAATAAATGTTTTTTACCTTCACTTGCTGTGCAATGCTGGATCATAGTATGGTTATTTTTATAAACTGCAATTCAGCTGCCCACCTGCTAGTTTGCTGTTGCTGTTGATGTTACAAAAAATGTGAGCTGTGAAGGTTAGAAGTGAATTGCATTATGATATAAAAAGGTTGAAAAGGGCTGGTCTAGGAAAACCATTCCCTTCTGCGTGGAGTGATAGACTGATCTCACTGAAGAAGAAAAAAGGAATGAACGAAATTTCATGAAAATATAAATATCTTTTAAAGTAGCCACCCGTAAAATATTAATTGGAAAAGTTAATAAAGATGTAGAGCAAATCAAAACACAAAAGCATCTGAAAAGAACTTGCAATAGGAAAACACATTTAGGATAGTATAAATTTCTGAGCAAATTGCAAGATTGAACTGCTAGTAATCTAAATGCACTTCAGATGTAAAAACCTACCAATTTGTACAAGAAAAAGACGAAGTGAGTGTCAGGCGTGTTTCATTCAGCATCCAAGAAAGAAACTCCCCAATCCCATTTGAGTACTTTTACTGGACATGAAATGAAAACAGCTAAAGTGAAGTAAGATCTGAAGCAAAAAAAGCTCGAATGTGTACATATCAAACATTTACCCAGGACCCTTGCCCCAGTTACCCCGACCCAATGTCCAATCTGCAACTCCAAAAGATGTTATGTGGAGTGCATCTTCAAGTGGCCTCAATCAGCTGGTATTCAGAGACATTGACCTTGACCAAGTCCAAAAACGAGCCATCAGCATGTGCAGAAGATGGTGAGAACGAAACTCCCTTCATGATAACTCCTCCAGCACCTAACAATCCTCCCCCAAATACCATGAGCCCCCGCCCTCCCTGTTACTATGGCAATCGATAGCAAGCAAGCAAAGTAGAGGCTGACAGTGAGTTTGCATTGAGTATTCACCAGAGAAAATAAACATAAAACTCTTTAAAATAAAAATAATTTTATGCTTTGTTTCTAACTAAATGTGTTGCCTGTTCTTGCTGACTGAAGATAAAGTCTTTTGTATGCTTTTTTTTTGTTCTTTATCCTAACTTTTTTTAATTTCCTCCCTTTTAATTAAGAGTTTAATGGAGAGATTCCCATTCCTAATTCAGCAAAAAAAATCCTTCCCTTTTCTACCTGAGTTTTCCAAACTTCCTCTCTAAAAGTCTGCACTTATATATTATTCAGGGTGTCAAATTATCACTTGTGCAGGTGAGGATTGAAAGGATGTCTATTAGAGATAGACCTAACCACTTTTTCAATGACCATTTGAAATTAGAACACTTTTGAAAAAGACCTATGAGCAGTTCTCAAAGCTACAGTTGTCACAGTTACATGATCACCATTTGTGAATTTCATAGCCAGAATTTCATAACCAGATTCCAAAAAGCAAAGTCAGTGGGGAAGCTGGCAGAAAATTGCAAGTTGCTGTCATAGGATGTTGCGCTGAACAACCATGGGTGATTTTCTTAACAAGTTGCATACATTATTTACTTAACGACTATGTTGCTTAGCAATTGCCAGTCCCAATGCAGTTGGTAAGTTAGAACCACCTGTTCCTTAAGTTCTTCCGGCTGGTGAGAAAACTCCATTTACAAATCTGTTGTATATTGCTAAGATATCTGATATGAGGAACTCTGAGCTATCAAAAGTGATAACTATATTAAGTAATATATTTTCTTCATTTTTTTCAGTCCTCCTCTACCACACAGGCAAGCAGATTTGTTTAATCTCAGTAAAGACCAAATAATTAATTTGGCTTATATTTCATCTGTGCCACAAAATGGCATTGAACAAATTCGAATCCATTGGCTGCTGGAACTTATTCAAGCTGAGTAAGTTAAATTCTTTACTCTCTCTCATTTGTAGTTTTTTAGGTTTGTCTGGTCAAGGGTGTCCATTTCATTGAGGGTCACATTAGGTTGTGTTTTACGTCAGGGGGCTGGGGTGGGTGTGGCCAGGATGGGTGTGGCCAGCTCAACATCACTTGTGTTGGGGGCACCTGTGGTGGCCTGAATACTCTGCCAGTGAAAACAGGCTCCCAAGCTCCGTTTTCTGCTGTGGTGGCCTCTTGCAACCCTCTGCAAGTGAAAACGGAGTTTGGGATGGCTGCCTTCGGCTCTCCCAAGCTCTGTTTTCACCGGCAGAGGCACTGCAGGCCAGTCTTTCACTGTTTCCAGGGCGGCCCCATGGGCCAGATTAAACACCCCACAGGCCAGATCCAGCCCTTGGGCCTTGAGTTTGACACCCCTGGTCTAGGTGGTCAATTTTTGTTCCTGAATTAAACAGACAGCTTGGGAACCATTTGCTAGTTTGGACAAAAAACTAGCTCTTAAAAAAAAGAATTTATGATACCAGACAATATTTCTTGAAATATATGTTTGTAAAAATTTCCAGCATGCATAAGGGATCATTTAGCATATTCTAAAACTAACACCTCATTTTGCATTAGGTCTGGTTGGTTACTACAAGGGCTACCTAGAAAATGCTTTGGATGGCATCTTTGCTTTAAAGGTGATTTTATGGCTGAATAATTAAGGGGTGTCCTTTGCACGTGAAATCCCTTGATTATATATGGGCATGTATTTTCTTGTGGTTATAAAGTCAGAAGTTATCCAAAAGATGTCTATGTAGCCTCTCAGCATATACAGTAGTTAGAAAGAGATGCTTCTGTTGTTTCTGAGGAAAAACAGACTGATATGGCAGCTCTGTGGTCATACTGTGGTTTGGCTTTGATGACAAAGCAAGAAATATTGTAAGCCAGACAGGAAAACATGTTAATGAACATAGGAGTCCATCCTTCTTGTCTAACCTTCCAATTTCCAATCTCAGAAGGTGAGTGAGCAAGGTTTGTATGTGGAGAAATGTGTGAGCGATGTGAGATGATTACCTAAGGTGACCAGATTTTAACATTGGTAAAGAGGAACACCATTGACCGTGGGGGAGTGGGGGGTGTTGATTAATTTTTTTAAAAAAAAATCGGGCCTTTTTAAGACGCTGCGGGACGCGGGACAAATTGTTAAAAATCGGGACTGTCCCGCCAAAAGCGGGACATCTGGTCACCTTACCCAATGGAGAAGCCCAGATTCACTTAACAGCCATGTTCCTGACTTAACAACCACCATGATTCACTTAACATGGCAATAAAAGGTTGCAAAATGCGGCAAAATTCATTTAACAAACGTCTCCCTTCCTTAGCAACAGAAATTGGGAGATCAATCCTGGTTGTAAGTCGAGGATTACCGGTAGCCAATTGCAAAAGGCAACTTTACTTGGAACAGGTGAGATTGTGCCCGGATCCCTTTCATGCCAACATATCCATCTTCTGCTCTTTCCCTCTCTTCCTTCCTTTCTCCTTCCATCATCTCCTTTCCTCACTCACTCCCTTCTTCCTTTTTTCTCTTCCTCCCTCCTTCCATTCTTTCAGCTTCATTTCTTTTGCCTA